GTAAGATCTTGTCTCAAAAAAAAAAAAAAAGATACTGTAGCTCAGCAGTCCCTAGGTTCAGTCCCTAGTCCTAAAAAAAAACCAAACAAAATTGAGAAAAAGTTTGACAAAATTTGACATTTTTATGGCAAAAATATTCCAATTTCCTCATTATGATTGCTCACACATGGAAAACTCCAAGTCAACATCCTATTCCAAGGTGCAAGTGTAACAGCTAAAAGTAAAACAGAATTACTATGGGATTCAGCAACCTTGCTCATTTAGGCATGCCCCAAAAGAATTGAAATCAGGGACTCAAACAGGTATTTGTACAATGTTCACAGTAGCATTATTCACAGTGACCAAAAGGTGAAAACAAACTAAGTATCCTTGGAGAGATATATAAAAAGGCAAAATGTGATATATACACAAATGTGGTATATAAAAGGATATCCCGGCACATGTTGTAACATGGATGAACCTTGAAAACATGAAGCTAAGTGAAATATAACAGTCACAAAAGGACAAATATTGAACGTGTTCAATTAGATATCTAGAATTGTCAAATTCGTAAGGATGGAAAGTAGATTGGTGGATGCCAGGGCTGTGGGATGGGAAGGGATGAGAATGTTTAATGGGTGCGGAGTTTCTGGGGTGATGAAAAGCTCTGGGAACAATGATAACTGTGGGAAGCCGCCTATGATGGCGCCCATTTCCTGCTTCCAGGTTCTTCCCGGCCTGAACAAGCCCGCCAAATTGTCATATCTGCCCAGTTACCCGTGACGCTAGCCTATCAGCTTGTTAGGCGCGCTTCTCTGTGATTGGATACTGCTTCCCCTTATAAGAGGTTGTTCCTGCCCCCAACGGCGGAAGAGGAACCAACGTTGAGGGTGGCGGACCTTGTCAGGTCCGGTTCGCTGTACGCAATAAAGTTTGAGAGCTGATCCTGCTCGAGTTTGGTCTCCTGTCTCCCGCGGCTCCGGTCATCTGGTGGCCCGTACGGGGAAAAAGATAAAAGACTCAGCGACGTGCCTCTTCGGCCGGGAGGTGCGATTGCTGTTGCCTGCGGTACGACGGAGGACCTGGCCCAATAACAACGGAAGGCCGTGAGCGCCTCTTCTCTTCACCCTGATCAGCTACGTGAGATACAGCGGTTCCCGGGACAGGTGAGTACTGGGTCACCTGGGTTGGGTGGACGCACCTAACAGATTTTGAGCGCCACACGAGTGGACGCCGGTTTTTTTTTCTTTTCTTTTCCCTTTGCATCTGTTTTGCTTTCGCTTCACTAATACAGCCCGACAGGCTTTTGATAGAGCTCGATCGGAATGCTCAGAGGAGCCCGGAGCCACTGCCGATTGTGGGTCTCCGGAGGACCCTCAGGGCTCTAATTCTGATTCGGATTCGGAAGGTTCAGAAGAGGAGGTTGTCTTCGCTAAACAGGACCCTCCTGCACAGCTTAAAGAGGAATTCAGGGCTCGGGAAGATAAAAAGGGGAACCAAACACCACCCTGCTCGAGCTACTCCGCCTTACGGGAGGAGCTTAAGCCCTTCCGCCCTTTGGCAAGTTCACGGTCCTTCCACCAGAGGGTATGGTCGCGGCTTCCCTTTGAGTGTTCCGGTCTCCATGCATTCCCAGTACAAGTAGGAGGCAGGGGAGGAGGAGGATATTATGAGCCCTTAGAAATTAAACAACTTAAAGCTATCAAGGACGCAGTTTCAGCTTATGGGCCCAATGCGCCATTTACCATGGCGCTTTTAGAGGCATTGGCAGGTCTGTGTGATCTCTTCACCTCAACAATCTATTGGTGTTAACCCGAGAGGACTGCGCCCCAATCATATTTGGCAAATGGACGTTACACACATCCCAGAATTCGGAAAACTCAAATATGTACATGTTTCGGTTGACACCGCTTCTCAGGTTATGTTTGCTTCGGCAGAACCTGGAGAAAGGGCCACCCATGCTATTAATCATTGTCTTGCAGCCTGGGCTGCTTGGGGAAAGCCCAATATACTAAAAACAGACAATGGTCCTGCCTATACCAGCAAAATTTTTATGACATTTTGTCAACAAATGGAGGTCACTCTTAAACATGGCATTCCTTACAACCCCCAAGGACAAGGCATCATTGAGCGATCCCATCGGACACTCAAGGGTGTCTTACAAAAACAAAAGGAGGGAATAGGCCATGGCCTAACGCCCAAAGGAAGAATATCATTGGCACTCTTTACCATAATCATTCCCCTGCCATGGAACATAGCAATCCGTCCCCAACCGACAAAGGGCTGGTTAGATGGAAAGATGTCCTTACAGGACAATGGATGGGCCCGGATCCAGTGATTAGCTGGACCCGAGGTGCGGTTTGTGTCTTCCCACAGGAACCAGGCTGCGAACCGCTGTGGGTCCCGGAAAGATTGACGCGAGCAGTAAACTCCCCACCAGTTCCTGATAAAGCACAGGAGGATAAGCCCGCGGACACAAGTCAACTCGACCCTTCTGGGACCGACGCTCAGCGCCCGAGACCATCTACAAACTAAAATGTCTGGTTTGGAGTTTTTTCTATTCTGTGGGTTCCTATTAATCACCCCTGTGATATGCTCAGATTCCACAGAACCACCACAATATCTTTGGGGTCCTTGGCACCACCCGCCCACATTGGCACCTTTCAAATGCTTGTTAGACCGCCTTATGCAAACCCAGCAACAGGTCAAGGTCACAGCTATGGCAGCCATGCAAATGGCAGCAGGTAGCCCATCAGGCCAGCAGGCCGCCGCATATCTCCTTCACATTGCAGAACATCAGCTATAAGAGCTGAGTGGGCAAGCCAATGACGGGTAAGACGGGAAAAGCCCTCCCGGTCAACCTAAGACAGGCTCCACTCAGATATACATGGCCTATAAGGCCAGGGGTCCCTCCCGGAGTCAAATTATTGGCATTGAGATGCGAGACCAAGGGTACTGCAGTGCCATCCGCCCCAAAGGTTGGGGGGAAGGCAGGAATGAATGTCTATATGCATCCAGGTTCGGTTCACAAAAGCCTAGCCCTGCGAAAAAATGAACCACTCACCTTGAGCATGGTCCTGGCGCAAGGATATGCACAAAACAGGGTGATGCACAGCAGGGTATAGACCTCTACATTCTCTCATGCCTCGGCCTACAAGGTAGACCCACTCCTAGGTGTCTAACAGCAACAAGGTCATAGACACCTTGGAGGGACCCACAGACCATCCTATTTTAATAAATAAAAAAGGGGGAGATGTGGGAAGCCGCCTATGATGGCGCCCATTTCCTGCTTCCGGGTTCTTCCCGGCCTGAACAAGCCCGCCAAATTGTCATATCTGCCCAGTTACCCGTGACGCTAGCCTATCAGCTTGTTAGGCGCGCTTCTCTGTGATTGGATACTGCTTCCCCTTATAAGAGGTTGTTCCTGCCCCCAACGGCGGAAGAGGAACCAACGTTGAGGGTGGCGGACCTTGTCAGGTCCGGTTCGCTGTACGCAATAAAGTTTGAGAGCTGATCCTGCTCGAGTTTGGTCTCCTGTCTCCCGCGGCTCCGGTCAGATAACTGCATGACAATGTGAATGTATTTAGTCACTGAATTGCACATGTAACAATAGCTAAGACGGTAAACATGTTTGTGTATTTTACTACAATAAATAGTACACAGAACTTGGCCTGAAACAACAATTTGCCCCACCCCCCAGTTTTGGGGTCTAGTTGGATTAATCTTTTTGGCACAAACCTGCCACCAACTTTCTGCTGACTAGCCCTAAATTGGCCTGAGCTGCCAGGAGCCTGAGGTAAGCTGAATTCACAGGAACTCCCCCTATCCCCTGAGGGAGGAAGTTTAAATTATCAGGTCAATTAGGAAAGATACAACCGAAAAATCCAAGTTTCATTCACACTTCAAGGAGGCGTTTCCTGGCTGGGTGCCATTTTTATTATTTTTGGCCCAGGCTACTGAAAGCCCCACAGACCCAGGCAAGGTACAATGTGATCTTTGATTCGCATTTCAAGGATCAAAGTAAGTGAGTTTGGGTGTAAATGCAGATAACATTTCAGAGATCTTTCATGAAAGAAGTCACTAGACCAGGGCAGAAAGGGAGTTGGTGTGTTACTTGTGTGTTCGCCTTCAGAAGCATCATTTTCCAGCAAATCCGGCTGCCCCTGACCCAGAGACCCCTGGCTTGCATCCAGGTCCTTGGCCCATCCATTGACTTTAGGTTCTGGCACCTCTTCCACCTCCTCTAGGCATCAAAAGGCTGCGCGCGGTGTGTGTGTGTGTGTGGGGGGGGTAGTGTAGAGTGGCTCCTGAATGTCCACCTAGGGAGCACAAAACCTGCTCCTCTCTTGTTTCCAAAGTGCCCGGCTGCTGAGTCACCAATGTTGGGTGACATGCTTAGAATGGATACAGCTCTGTGAAGAGGTCTTGGACAGCCTGCCCTCATTGTCCTCTCTGGGTCTGCCCACGAGGGGTCTCCCACAGGCCCTTCCAGGCAGCCTCTAGGCATTAGGCCTAGAGTGGAGGGTACTTGCAGCCAGCCTGTCCTGGCTCTCCACTCTGGGATGGACGTATGCATAACCGGGTCCTAACTAGGTTTTCAGCACGGGCACTGGGTGGTGGGACACACTCTGTGTACCTGCCACGTCCGTAAAGTGCTCACAAGACCCACGGGCTTAACGGCCCTTCTGTGCTCAAACCCTTCCAAAGCCCTCGGCCGCAGGCTTATCTTAGGCTCCCAGCCACCGTGCTGCGCCGCCCATGCGCTCCCACAGTGTTCAGCTGACTCGATGGCACTATCGCGGGTTAAGACAGCATTGCCCAGCCCAGTGCTGCTGCAGGTCACAGTCAGGTCAAGCCAATTAAAGCTAGGGGAGGCTGGGAACCAACCGCCCTAGTGGAATTCGGAGTGCCGAACTCGCCGCGGCCGGCTGCCGCGCGAGCGTTCCCGTCACCCCGCGCGCCGTGCTGACCGAGTCCAGGAGCGCCTGCGCAGCTGAGCCCCCCCCCCCACGGCGCAGAGCGCATGCGCGGCGGGCAGAGCGCGCACCCGCGGCCCAACTGGGAGGCCGGCGTGGGACTTACCCGGAGTTTGCGCGAGAACGCCCCAGGTGGCCGAGCGCGCTGGGGGAGTGGCTGCGTGACGCGGTCTGCTCCTGAGCAGGTAGCTGCTGGGCTCCGACGTCTGCAACTTTAGATGGTCAGTAGGCCCGCGTGAAAGCGGGCTGTCGGCGGGAGGACCTGGTGTTGCACGGGCCCGGAGAAGCGCCTTCTCCGTCTTTTCCCGACTTCCCACTGGCGGAGGGGCGCTCTGAGCCTTCGGTCAGGCTCTCAGCGACCTGGCCTGCGGACCTGTATTTCTTGGTCTGTTGTGTGGGGGCGGCAGAGACTTTTGGGTTGTTTCCGCCACTTCGGGACGTCACGCCGGCTCCCTGCCTACCCTCTCAGGCCCATCTCGTTCTCCACTTCTAGGTGATGCTTGGACTCTAGCTCTTCCTGGCAAGCCGGACGGTCCTGTCTCCCGACTGCGGATCCTGGATCCTTTCCTGCGTGTTTGCAGGTAGGTGGGCTTTCACGCCCTGGAGCTTGTGAGGTCGTATCTCCTGCATGCGATTGCTGGGGCAAGGAGGAGTGTGCAGTCGTCTGCCCTCATAGGCTTTGGGCAAGTTCTATTCCTGGGGTTCCCAGGGCTCCCCGGAGCAGAGAATGCTTCACCGTTCCATGAGCTGTCTTTGGCTTTGCAGAGGCAAAGAAGCAAGTTCCACAAGGGCCCTAGTCTTTTAGTGGAACGCTGTCCAGTCCAGGAGAAGGACCAAAATTTCCCAGTGCCAGATGTGGTGGGGAGGATAAGGAATGAGATTAACAGACTGATAATCTATGGGAGACATGGAATGACTAGGTTCTCAAAATGGTGAGGGTTTGGTGTAGGCTTAGGAAGGCTTAGGGTTAATGCTTAGGCCAAAGCATGGTTGACTGGTATAGGGGAGACTTTTGCCTGAGGCTGCAGAGGGCATGCAGATATGCTAATGAGTGGATAGAGTAACACCTCAGAGTCCTAGTCTGAGTGGGAGGTGAAGACAGAAAAGGAGGGAGGACAGAAGTCTTGAGTAGCACCCTGGCTCATCAGCATAGGAATTAGCTTTTGTGGACAGCCTGACACTGGCCTTTGGTGTGGCACTGGGGCCTAAATTGTGGAAACTGCTTTTTTAGAATTTGGTAGGGGACTGGGGACTGGGGACTGGATTTATTTATTTATTTGTATCAGAGTGGTTTTTTTTTTTTTTTTTTTTTGGTCTTTTTCCTTTTTATCGGTACCAGGGATCGAACTCACGACTGCCTGCTTGCAAGGCAGGTGCTTATGCCGCTGAGCTAAATCCCCAGCCCCCTATTTGTATCAGAGTTAAAACTCACGACCTTAGGCTTGCCAGGCATGCACTTGTGCCACTAAGTTACATCCCCTGGCCTGAACTGGATTCTTGAGTGGGCTCCACTTACATGCTGTTGTGTGGATACTGCTGCCACAGGCCCTAGTGTTTTCTGGCATTAGGGTGGGAGTGCAGGGGCAGTGGGTACACTTTTAGGCAGAAGTGGGAAATGTACCCTAAGGTACATGCTTGGGTGGTTGAAGTAGGTGCCAGTGGCCCTGGAAGCTTCAAGTATTACAGGCCACCTGGGAGGTACTGGGCAGAAAGACCAACATAGCTATACCTCTCTGGGGAAACTGACTGATGGGGTTAGTAAATACACAGGAAACTAGGCATGAAGGTATGTATAGGCCCTATAGTGGGCAAGCTGGTGGAGGAGTGGGGTATGTGTACAGAGGTGAAGCACAAAATGTTTTATGGAGATCATGAGTGCATCTCCCTCTCTAGAGACTTCAGGGAGAGGGATGCGGGAGAAAGCCCCAGAGGAGGGCTCCCTTCTCCGGGAGGAAATTGTAGTTGCTAATAGTCGGGCCTCTTTGGTAATCACAGCTGGATGCAGGGAGGGGACAGGTTCAGAGCTTAGGTAACTAGTCTGGTGGGAGTAAACACATCATGTGGGTTTCCAGTATTTCACATTTGGGGATTAGAATGCCAGGCTATTGACTGGGGTGGAAATGTAGGGAGGTGTGTTTGCGTGTAACATTGCTTGCAGGTGGCACTTAGCACTCAGCCTGGGTGCTGAGGCAGAAAGGAACAGATAATAGGTGCCCTGTTTCTGTAAGGTGTGACTGGCCCTGGGACATGTAAGAACCTATGACATGCTCTGTGTATTTAGTGGTTTACAATGTTTGGAGTGGCCAGGAGCCTACTCAGCAGACTCTGAAGCATAGTCTATAACCTGCATGATGTTGTGGTTAAGCTTTTGATCTGTGTAGCCAGATACTGTTGCCCACTCTGTCACTTAGTAATTGGTATGTGGTCACAAGACAAGTCACTTCACTACTCTGCCTCAGCAACAATAATAGTACCAACCTCCTGTGGAGAGAGAATGATAATGTTCAGTATGAATAGAACACTAATTTAAAGGTTGCTACTATCATTGTCCTGAAATTCCCCTATGCAATTGCGATCTGATCATTTTTCTTCTCCTGGGATTGACAGCATCTGTCATACACAGTTACCTTGAAAGTCACAGGTGGCATTTACGTGCCTTCTTGGACTTCTCAGAACAGCCTCCTGGGCCCCTCTTTCTACTCAGGGCTCCTACTCAGGAATAGTGGTTTACCTGCTTATTGCCTCTTCCTACCAGCCTGGTGGCCATGGTTGGACCTAGTTCCTGCTCTTTTCCACCTTGTTTTTGGACAGATTGCCTTGGATGATGGCCTGCCTCTGACAGTACCTTCGGCTCTCTCCGCTCTACTGAGGCTGCAGTGTCAGCTCCCTGGTCCTCAGCACTTGCTTGGAACAACCGGGTCTCCCACGCCCTGTCGAGCTGATCCCTGACCTGTTTTATTATGTGTGCTGCCTGTGTATGTGTGCACAACCATGGAGCAGAAGAGCACAGCTAGCAATTTTGCCATTGGTGCAAGCCCACAGAAAGCTGCCTGCCTCCCAAACTTTGTACATGTCTGGCCCCTTCAGGATGAACTTCATCTGAGTGCCCATCTAAGACCAAGGCATTTTTGATGGCTCCCCATGCCTGCTAGATTACTTTTTGGTCCATTTCGGAGATTTCGTGTTCTCTTACTTGAAGCACTTCTAGGAAAATTTAAGCTGTCTTTGAGATCGTTGAATACCTAATGGGCTGAGCCTGGGCTTGACCAGCCCTCCACTTTGGTGGAGACCTGCCCCTGCCTGATGATTACAAGATCTGCCAGGGTATTTAGGAGGCTTTTCAGGACCCTAACAGTTTAGCTGAGTACCAACCACAGTGCCCTGTCCCTTACCTTTGGCCTCAGGCGAGTGACCTCACAGATACCTTTACTGAGGCTGTGCTTAGAGGTCCTAGTGGTCAATCTGGGCACTACTCTCAGGCCTGATCCAGCTATTGTGGCCACCCCTGCAGTGTCCAGGTCCAATAATACATTGGAAATGCTCTACCCAAGCAGCAGCTGCCCAAGAAAAACATTCCTGGATTCCTGGACTGCCCAGCCCTATCAAATTCTGCCTATAGTCCTGATTTTGGTCCTGTGGGACCAGCAGCCTCCTAATCAGAGGGGGCAACCCCCAAACCTATCCCAACCCCTTCAAAATCTGGTGATCTGCATGCCCAGAAGTCAAAAAACAGAAGAGGTTCTGGACAGAAAGAGAGCAGGAAGAATCCATGGGTACACTACAGGGATGTTAGGCGCTCCAGAGATCCCGGGAGACACCATTTTGTCCAGTTCCCTGTCGTACATTCCTGAGTTCTAAACACAGCCCAGCAGGTGCAGCAGTGCCCCTTGTGATGAAGTGTACTTGTGACTATGGAGCCCCTTGGTCCCAGTCAGGACAGAGTGGTGTCCTCAGATGACTCTAAATGACCCTGTCACCGGATGAGATGTTTACACTCTATCCTGTAGACTGACAAGATACAGCTCTGCACTGTGCCCTCATCTTCTACTCCTGCTGGACTTCCAGCTGCATCCTCACCCCTTGCCTGGATGTGCTGTCTTTTTTTTTTCTTTCTCTTTTTCTGGATGTGCTCTTGCCTGACCTGTTCCCACTAGTTGGGTAGTTCTATAGAGCTCCTATTAGATATTTATTTATTTATTTAGTATTTTTACTGGTACCAGGGATCGAACTCACGACCACACGCTTGTGAGGCAGGTGCTTATGCCGCTGAGATAAATCCCAGCCCCTCTATTAGATATTTATACCAACCTTGTCACTGCTTGTCCCCACCTGCCCATCCACCCAAATACCACCCGTGGCGTTTCTCAACATTGTTTGGGACTGATTGGGTCTGCCATACTTGTCCAGTTTGAATATGATTCTATACAGTATCTGTGCTTCTGTTTCCCACCCCAGCATCCTGTTCCTTTAACCTGTGAACTCCAAGTTGGAATGTATGGAAGGCTACATGAAGAAAACCACTTTTAAAACACCACTTTTAAATGTTACTTTTATGAGGTACTTTGTGATTCATTACATGCAGCGCAGTAATGTCAAATCAGAATTATTGGGTTTGCTTCTCCTTTACCATTTATCACTTGTGTTAGGAACCTTTAAACTTTCTTCTTGTTCCTTATAAAAATATAAAACTATATTATGGTAAAGTATAATCACTCTTGGGCTATAGAGCCATGGAGATTATTATTTTTATCTAACTGTATTTTGGTACTTGTTGTCTAACCTCTACATGGCCTTTTTCATCCCTCTTTCCTAACTTCTAGTGACTATTGTAGATTATTGCTCTCTCTACTTGTATAAGATCAACTTTTTTAGCTTCCACATGGGAGTAAGAACATGTGAGTTTGTCTTTATATGTGTGAGTTATTTCACTTAATATAATGTTTTCTGCTTCCATTCATCCATTTAGCCATATTTCTTCTTTTCCCTCCATGGTTTTTTTTTTTTTTTCTTTTTTTGACACAGGGTCTCTTGTGTAGCCCATGCTGGCCTCAAACTCTTGGCAATCCCCCTGCATCAGCTTCCCAAGTGCTGAGATTATAGGTGTGCACCACACACTAAACCATATTTCATTTTTTTTAATGGTTAAATAACACTCCACTGTGTATATTTGCCATGATTTCTTCATTTATTTATCATGGAGCACTATTCCATATCTGGTGAACAGAGCAGACGCAGCCCTGGCACCCTTCTGAATAAGTAAGATGGCGTCTTGACTAAGAACTACACTCCTCTTTGGTTTTATAGAGGCTCTAACCAGCTGGGAGGTTTAGATGTAGGAAGGAGAAATCCAAGCCCCTTGCTGGGCTAAACTAAGGGCATTCCTTTTTCTGTATAGTAACACTCTTATCACACCTCCTTATCCTCAGAAATAAATTTTTACGTGTTACGATACCGTACTTCCCCCGCCTTCCTACTCTTCAGCAGTCTTGGCCTGCCTCTGTATACTCTTGCTGATGACTCAACCCCAGTGATGTAGATGACTTACATATAGCAGATGTGATCCTCAGGGTCGGGGCCTGTG